GGAGGTATTATGGGATGGAGGGGAGGTCCTGGAGGTATTATGGGATGGAGGGGAGGTCCAGGAGGTATTATGGGATGGGGGGGAGGTCCAGGAGGTATTATGGGATGGAGGGGAGGTCCTGGAGGTATTATGGGATGGAGGGGGGGTCCAGGAGGTATTATGGGATGGAGGGGAGGTCCTGGAGGTATTATGGGATGGAGGCCACGTCCTGGACATATTATGGGATGCAGCTGATGTTGAGGACTTATTATGGGATGCGGCCTATGCTGAGGACCTATTATGGGATGGAGGCCATGCTGAGGACCTATTATGGGATGGAGGCCAGGTCCTGGACGTATTATGGGATGGAGCACACATAGAGAACGTATTATGGGATGGCACCTATGTCCAGGACCTATTATGGGATGTGGCCTACACTGAGGACTTATTATGGGATGGAGGCCAGGTCCACGGCCTATTATGGGATGCAGCCGATGCTGAGGACTTATTATGGGATGCGGCCTACGCCGAGGAGCTATTATGGGATGGACGCCACGTCCTGGACGTATTATGGGATGCGGCCTATGCTGAGGACCTATTATGGGATGGAGGCCAGGTCCAGGGCCTATTATGGGATGGAGGTCACGTCCAAGGGCCTATTATGGGATGGAGGCCATGCTGAGGACCTATTATGGGATGCGGCCGATGCCAATGTATATTATGGGATGTGCAATAGCAAATGGCTCTGTGGAGTATTATGGGATGTATCGGTGTATATTATGGGCTGTATCGTCATTACATGAAATATTATGGGATGTATAGAAGGTCAACGTATTATGGGATGCATCACCAGCCTATGAAGTATTATGGGATGTATGCGCTATCCATGTATATTATGGGATGGGTAATCCCTCTATGGAGTATGATGGGATGTATCGGTGTGTATTATGGGATGGACAATCACTCAGAACTATGATGGGATGGATTCACGTGTATTATTATGGGATGTATAATCACTGGATGGAACATTATGGGATGTAGACTACGCCAATGTCTATTATGGGATGTATCACTAGGTGAACTATGATGGGATGTGTGTGTCTATTATGGGCTGTAGGTGAAGTATTATGGGATGTGTGTGTATATTATGGGCTGTAGGTGAAGTATTATGGGATGTGTGTGTATATTATGGGCTGTAGGTGAACTATGATGGGATGGATGTGTCTATTATGGGCTGTAGGTGAACTATGATGGGATGTGTGTGTATATTATGGGCTGTAGGCGAACTATGATGGGATGTGTGTGTATATTATGGGCTGTAGG